CAATAAATATCCCAGGTCTAAATCCTGGTTTATTCATAACCTCAGGCAAATGCTTCTTAGATGTGATCTTTGGCCTCAGCAGTACTTAGCCCACTCATTTAGGATAAGTGCTGCTACTTCTGCAGCCATACATTAAGGTTCATTCAGCATACTCCATACTAAAATAAATATTTGTTTATTTATTTGTTTTTTAGTATTTATTTCATTGTGTTGTATAAGTAGTATTTATATTCTATACGAGACTTTTTGCTTTTGCTCAACATGTTTGATTTAAAACGTCCTGCCAATAAAGCCAATTAAATTGGAAGAGAGAGAGATGGGAGAGAGAGGGAGAGAGAGAGAGAGAGAGAGAGATACAGAGAGAGAGTTCAGTGATCGCATTATGTGATTTCCTTCGGTACAACAGTTGAGAGACGCGGACGTGTCTATTTCCCGTCCTGCACAGCTGGGGTTGGCTGCAGACTTTGAAAATATGACATTGAGGTGAGATCCACGTTTCTTCTTTCATGTTAAGTTCTCATCACTCGGCCTTTGCCTTGTGTTTTGTTTAACTCATCATTGTACAGACTTTTGCAGTGTTTGGTATTTTTTTTTTTTCGGAATTAATTGGGAATCGTTCATTGTAATTGTTTGTTATAGCATGATAAAGGTGGTCGGTGCGGATTATGTAAGCATGGTAATTGACCGGCAGATTGCATGGAAGTGACAAAAGACGCAAACAAATGTAAACAAGTAAACAAAACCTCTACTGACAACACGGGTTATTTTTTAGGATAATTTAGGATAATGATTTAACAACCTACCCTTTAAACTTCTCTTTCAGTGTGATGGTGGACTCACAGTTGAGACTGAGTAATACACTGAACCGTGAATCTCTCACTTCCAAGTGGAGGGATGAGGAATTAGAAGAAAAAAACACTTAATGACAATTTTAATCATCAATTAAAAAAATAATGGTATGTCACCATCACCATTACTTTTCCATCCATCACTACATTTGCCTTTTTTTATTTTTTATTTTTATATAGATAATAATGTAAAACATATATTTGTTACACTTATTGAAAGAGGCTGTTGTAGTTTCACCCAAGGGAAACTGTAGTGTATACTTCGAGAAAGAAAAGAAGAAAGCAGAAAGAGAAAGAGTGAAAAACAAACAAGAAATAAATACCACAGCATCAGTAGAAAGGGGGTGCTAATTACTGAGCTATACTAGTGTTGTGAATTATCACATTCAGCTCTGTGGTGTGGTGAAACACAGGCATGGCTTAGGTTTTTGGGAAAGCTGGTTACAACACACACACACACACACACAACCATCCTGCAAGTATTGTTACATAAACTTCATGTTGGCTGCAAGTTCATCCAGACTAATTGGGCTAAATGTGTGTGTGTGTGTACTGTTTGTCTATATATTTGTGTATGCATGCCACAGCCAGGCCCAGCTGTGCCGTGAGCCTGTTAGTAAGGTGAACCACCACAGCTCCAGCTGTCCGTATGCAGTCATACAAGATGGCAAGAGGCTAAACAGACTCCTGTCAGAAACACTTTCCAGTGTGTATTTGTTGTGGGTGTGCCACCTGTTCTGTTCTGTTTTGTGCATACATGTCCCTTCAACTTTTACACACAGACAAACAGGGAAACAGGAGACAGAGGTGAGGAACAGGGAAAACACGGGAAACACAAGGAACAGCTGGAGGCACGATCGGAGTCGTGACACAAAAGCTTGTAGGATTTCCATTCAGACGTTGGCGTAGAAAGGAAATGTTCTCAACGCTGTGGGTGTGGGGATGTGGCTCTCCCTGATTTCCGATCATTTTGTTGTTTGTGATTCAAACACTGGGAGCATCTCTGTGATAATCTTTCCTTTTGATTTAAGGTTTGTTAGGTTTCTATAGCTGGTGCCCTTCTCTTAAGCCGTGGTGGCTATTGCTGCTCCCCGGTTGCTATTGTCTTTATTTCAAACTACAGTTGTTGCTGCTGGACGTGTAACACTTTATAGATAGGCCTATTTGACCAAGGCATGGATACGTGTTTAACTAACAGGCCACACAAAGGATTTTCCTTGTCACCACAGTCTGGCTGTGAAATCTTGTCTGTGTTCACTGGTTTCTAAAATATCACCCATGTTGTTCACTCTGTCAGTCAAGTGAATCATTTTTGATCAGTTTATCATCCGACAAGGGAAAATTGTGCTGTCCTTCAACAAGCACTATTTCCTTTCTCCTCCTGTGACACACATCCCCTCCCTTCTTATTTTTACATTGATGGCTGCTGTAGTGGGAGTTGTCTCATTTAGAAGGAAATAGTTTTGACCTTGTTAAACATGGGTAGAAGCTCATTCTGTAGAAAGGGCTGATTATCTCCACGAGTCTCCAAGAAGACAGCAGTATGTTCAGAGTTGAGTTTCAGAAACATTTTGCATCAACTGCAAACCACTTCAGCGACAAAGTCATGGATGTAGTGCAGAGAAAATCCAATCTGCTGCTGCTGCTCTTCCTCATGGATTATAGAATATAATATATAATCTTAATAGACATTTTAGGACTTCTCTCTCTCTTCCACCATGTCTCTTTTATGAGTTAGCACTGCATATATAATTAACTTTTTCGCATAATAATAATATACATGTCAGTGCAGAAATATTGAACCTGAATAATACTGTCACATGCTTCTCTTTTGATAACTTAAAAATATTTTATTGGGTCATGTTAGACACTATTATTGACTTGCAGAATCAGTTCTCATGCTCTGTATTAATATTAGATTCTTGGCTGTCCATGCCAGTATAGAGTACTGAATTACTACTCACACATGGGAGAAACTCAAATAAAAGCATTACTACTTTTAAAAGTAGTTTTATAAGTACTCATCCAAGGAGAGAAAAGGAAATTCATGTGGAACTTTGAATAAAATATTGTGGCTTTGAATCACACATTAGTTTATTGCATCTGCCTTCTTCGTGAAATCCTTATTTCTATATTAGTTTGTGTTCCTGGTACCATACATAGTGCTCTAGGCAGAACTGCAGAATACACTGTAATGTGGTTCACTGTACTGTTCTTATCTGCCAGCTGGCAGACCAGCCTCTCTTCTCACTACTCATTAACCGCTCTGCACCCCTCTCCCTTTTCTGCCTGTCTCAGTCAACCTATTGCTACGAATGGCAAACTTTACACTGAGCTCTGTAAGGTTTTTAAGTCTCAATCAACAAAAAGACAGAGGTGGAGTGATTTCACACTGTCTTACAAATTGCCTGATTCTTAATGTGCACTTATTCAAAACATTTCACACCAGATAATTAGATGATACATTCATAAATAAACCCAGACCCAGGCTGTGTGAAACTGTAGTAATGATTACTGCTATTTAAATTAAATAGCTGCATTTATTTTTGTTAAAAAAAGAAGGTATTTTTATCTTTTTTCAGAAATAAGGTATTTGCATGCAGTATAAAATCTTCATATACAGTTTTATTTTTATAAAAAATATTAAAAATCAAACTTTACGTTGAGATTTTTCTCTTAACATTTTTGAACATGTGAAAACACTGATGAAATGCTTACAGAGAGGTAAGCTCTGAATCTATGACAACTGATTACAAAATAATAATCGGGACCAATGTTTTCCCTTAAGAATTTAAGTCAAGTTAGGACCTACAGTTCATTTCTAAACTGGCTATAACAATGTTCAAAGTTAGTGAGAAGTTTTCAGTACAGTTATGAGACGCATCACTGCTCCAAGTTGTCAAAATATGATCTGTAATGTCTGATAGAAATGTAAGATCCCCTGTGTCGTCTCAGTTTGTACACTGGAATGAGAAGATTTGCTGACATACGACATGAAATGTACCACTCACTGGTAACACCTTTTTTACATGACTCAGTGACTCATGGTTTAAGGCTTGCTATGATTAAGATTAATCCATGATTGATCTGTTAATATCTTACATCTCACACTCTTTTATCTTGTGAATCCTCTTTAAGTAATGAAGTCGTTTTCCTTTCTAATTTTCTTATTCTCTGGTGCTCCATCCTCTCCTTCCTCACGCCACTGCAGGCTTTGCTTGTCACATGCCAGCCCACAAACTTCCTGGTCAGTTACATTAGCGACCCACCAGTACTGACAGGATTAGAGACAGGATTACTCTGCAGTCTTTCATGTTCCTCCCTCTATATGCTTTGAGGGCTATGCAGTTCACAGACTAATCAGACTCACAAGATACACAGAGAGGAAGTCTTTTCAGATGCAATGTCATGAACTGCAACCTTAAAGTGTAAAACACAGTTACAAGTGATGTTGCATATTCACGAAACTCAGCAAATATCTACAGATTGAGATACAGATAGACAATCCTCCACACACATTTCCTAATCCCAAGGTTCCAGACCTACAATTATTTTGATTGGTATCTGTATTTATTAATGATACAGTTGAATAATGAAGTATGATCTCATTGGGTCTGTTTTTGGCAGAGATTGCCTTATTCCAGTTTTTCATACTACAAGCACTAAAAAGCACTTATATCCAACAATCATATAAGGACAGTTTAAGTAATTTTGAGTTAATCAAATGATTATATAATTATCTCTGATAATTGACTCTGTTTGCTAAGATTACTTGTGAGACTGTTTTTGCAGTGAACAAATGTGTTGTTTTAATTCCTTATCAATTACATTTACAGCCATAAGCTTCCTAGCCCAGAATTCAATCCAGCAGTTTGTATTGAGCGAGAAATTTAATTATCAGCTGTGGTTTTATGTATTCCTTATGTACTTTCTCAACACCACCTTTTTGGGACGTAAACTAAATATTAAATGGCTGATTTTAAAATCTTAACTTGGCTCAAACTGTTATCTGTATTACCTGGTGTTATGGTAAGGAGTGGAAGAGGGACTAATGAATTTTCTCTACCTCCTGATGACCTCTTAGTGACCCTTTGGTGTCTTCCAAAGCTCTGAGATGATCTCCCGGCAGCCACCCTGGCACACCTCTGAGTGATGAAGGCCTCTGACACATTCCTTATCATCTTCCTCCTCCACAGGACTCTGGTATGTGTCTAGAGTGACATTTTACTGACACCACAGACAAAACAAACATAATCAAAGTGTTAATTCCTAATAAATCCAAATAAAGTGTTGACTGGTATTAACTTAAAGTTTGTTTGCGTGTGTGTGTGCAGTGTGTGTCGGGGAGGACATTGGAAGATACGGTGGAGGAATGGAAACGCTACAGGAATGAATGTCTGCTCCGGATGAGTACAGAACCCACACCCAAAGGTAACACACACAAACATGCACGTGGGGGAGGCTGTGGTTCAGGAGGTGGATGAATCATTGATCAGAAGGTTGGCGGTTCAATCCCTGGCTTCTTCCTCGGCATATCAAAGTGTCTTTGGGCAAAATACTGAACCCCATATTGCTCTCAATGCATTGTGAGTGTGTGTGAGTGTCTGATGAGCTGTTGGCACCTTGCATTGCGGTTTCTGCCATCAGTGTATCAATGTGTTTGTGTGGGTGAATGTGACATGTAGTGTGGCTGGAAGATTAGAAAGGCGCTATATATAATCCATTGTTATATAGTGTGTATACTATTTTTTTAATAAATGAAAATAACATGGTGCTCAATCACCCACACCCACTCCATATAATACACATCCACACAACACTTATACTACATTTTAAAACTCTGATTACATGATTACACATATTGTCTCTAATGTATAATGAATGTGTACATATGATCTGTAATTTCTGACAGACATGTAAGATCCCCTGTGTCATCTCTGTTTGTACACTGGAATGAGAATATTTGCTTAAAAAGACAAACACACATGAAATGTACCACACTTTGCCCATCCCTCTCCTCTCTTTAGGAGTGTTTTGTGGTCGTATGTTTGACATGTACGCTTGCTGGTCGGATGGAAAACCAAACTCTACAGTCAAGGTGCCATGCCCCTGGCACCTGCCCTGGTACAACCAAGGTAGGAATGCACCCACACACACACATACACACACATTAATCTCACTCTTGTGTGCACTATTGAATGTGACCAAGGATGTGTGTTTCAGCCTCTGCTGTGTGTTTGTGTAGTGCGTAATGGCTTTGTGTTGCGGGAGTGTGGTCCTAATGGTCAGTGGACCACCAGTAACTCCAGCCGCACCTGGAGGGACCATTCTCAGTGTAACGTTAACACCACAGATCTGGTATACAGACACACACACACACACACACACACACAAACTATTTTTACTAACGTAAAACAAAATCAACTTAACATTACAATATAACCCACTCTTGCATTTTGGTTGCATTTTGCCCAGAAGAAACAGATGATGATCTTAGCCCACTTCAGAGTCATGTACACAGTGGGTTACTGTGTTAGTCTGGCCAGTCTTTCTCTGGCTCTGACTATTCTGCTCTTCTTCAGGTGAGCCCACACCTCTACAGTGTGTTTTCTGCATTGGGATTCTCTAATTATTTTGCCTATTTATTTTATTCTTTAGTTGTACTCTGTTTATATGTTGTAAATTTATTAATGATTTTTAATCTACTACCTACTATTTTTCACTGACCCCCATAATCAAATAAAAGAAATTGATTGTTGAAATTTCACCCACTGTATGTCACATATTTAAAACATTCTTCTGATATGCTTAACATAACTGTGGCATATGTGATATCTGCAGGAAGTTGCACTGTACCAGAAACTACATCCACAGCAACCTGTTTGCATCGTTCATTCTGCGAGCTGTTTCAATCCTGACCAGAGATGCTCTTCTGAACAGAGACACTCCTGAGTTCGGAGGGGTTCTCTCTAAAGTATTCAGTAATCAGGTTGGGACACACGCACACAGAACAAAGAGAGAGAAATCATCAGTTGTGCAAGTCAGCTGATAATTAATAAATGATTATTAAGATTCTAGCTAACTTTACATTCCAAGTTTGTCAAATAATTATACTGACACTAATTCAGAAAGTCATAGTTAATATCAAAACTGTGAATTGAAGTCAGACAGATCAAAAAGAAACTCAGGCTTGACCCAATTTCCCTTCCTAAAGGCTTGACTTGAAATTTAGTTAGTTTTGACCTGGTAAAGTCACAGAAACTTTACTAAGATTTTACAAATGGTTGATCTCAAGCAGAGCACTAACACACAAAAAGTGTGTTACTTCTAACCTCTTACAACCTTATTATGTCTTCCTCTACACAAACACACACACACACACACACACACACAAACATTAGGCATTGTCTGGCTGCCAAGTGGCTCAGGTGCTGATGCAGTACTGTGTGGGAGCCAACTACTACTGGCTGTTGGTGGAAGGCCTGTACCTACACAACCTGCTGGTGGTATTCTCTGATACCCGCTACTTCTGTGGATACCTCCTTATAGGCTGGGGTACACACACACACAAACACACACACACACAAACACACACACACACACACACACACACACTAAATCATACAGAATATAGAAATAGTCACACACAACACAGCTGAAATAGAAAGAAACAAAAAAAAAAATCATGAATCAGCATGTATAAATTATATATAAATATACATAAATTGATTAAATTGGTGTATTGCTGTATTGTGAACTTTCTCTGTACTTACATATGTATGTCTGTTTTGTGTCAGGCACCCCAGTATTATTTGTGGTTCCTTGGATTATTGTACGTTACATGTTTGAAAACACAAGGTGAGTCACTTTTATTTATTATTTCACTCAAAAATAAAATAATAAATCACTTCATATGTGTCTTTTCCTCCTTCATTTCATCCAGTATATTTGTTTTTCAGGATACCTTATTGTGTATCATTGCTTACTTTTCGGTGTGTTTGTGCTTATAGGTGTTGGGAGATAAATGGGAACAAGGTGTATTGGTCCATAATCCGTACTCCCATCCTGCTCGCCATTCTGGTAATGTACACACAGGCATTCACATAGAAATAGAAACACTCAATGTAAATGGCAGTTCCAGGATGTTCCAGAGTCTATTAAACTCTCCAATCGATATCAATGGAGACAACACAGAACAGAAACACGTGAGCTCCAGGTTGGCTGCTGTACATGTGATCTGTACATTGTGTCCCTATGTGATGTTTATCATCATGTTGACTTCCTTTCTCACATCATGCCTGCTCGCAGTCTTCAGGAATTGTTGGGGGTTGCTAGCTGTCATGGTGCAGATACCACACATGTACAGTACATGTACACGACCTGCTGCTCTTCTTGTGTCATTCAAATCATTTAACTGTGAACACACACACATTCATACACACAAACAACACACACACACGAAAGGAAATGTGGTTACATTAGACTTCATCAGTCAGTGATTAAAATTCACTCATAGTAGTTTCCAGCCTGGACTGTTTATACATCACCATTATAAGTTGTAGACTTTCACTTAACAATGCTCATGGTCATTTTCCGTATTTTATCTCTTCAGATAAACTTCTTCATCTTTATCCGCATCATCCATATTCTTGTATCCAAACTGAAAGCCCATCAGATGAGATACACCGACTACAAATTCAGGTAAGACCCCTAGACATGAGTGTTGTAAAGTTATATTCAACTCCCCTACAAACACATCACCCCATCAAGGAAAATGGTATTTTTAGTGGGCAAGAAAGTAATTATGCTAATGGTTAAATTATTTCAGTTTGTATGGCATTTTGTGCCAGGGAAAATCTGGGCTACATTACTTAACTCTACTTCACTGTCCCTTCAAGGGAAGCTCACCTACAGCTATTATAAAGACAACACAAGAAATGCAGTACATTTAAACATGAATATGTAAAATATACACTAAACATATAAAGCCAGCAACTATCAGAAGACACACACAAATATTGTTACAACAAACCAACAACAATTAAGTGAGTAATAAAATGTAATTAAAGGTGATTTATAACAAAATACACACAACACAAATGGACAGATTTATTATGCTACTATCTCCCACAATGCTCTGTTGGAGGAAAGTAAAGCACTTACTTTTCTAGTTCATCCCTGGTCAGAGCTTGTGGGCAGCTGGGTTTGTGTAGTGGGATTGTCCTTAACAAAGCAGAGCTTCTACACGGCTGAAGTGTCTTTGACCAAAACACTGAATAGATACCAGATCTAAAGGCAACCCTCCAACCCTCCATCACTGTTTTGATGTATTTCTTATTTCTATAGTAGTGTTCTGTTTTGTGTCTTTCTCTCCAGACTGGCTAAATCCACCTTGACCCTGATCCCTCTACTGGGGATCCATGAAGTGGTCTTTGCAGTGTTGACAGAGGAGCACGTGGATGGCGTTCTCCGTAACATAAATCTCTTTTTCCAGCTCTTCCTCAACTCTTTCCAGGTACAGTCAGGACATTGTATACCCATCCGGGCTAAAGATATCTGTACCCAGAATTCTTTTTCTGGATAAAAGCAACATCACAAACCACATTTCATGGTATTTGTAGGCTTTATTTGAGTCATTTCCCCTCTTCACAGGGTTTACTTGTAGCCATCCTCTACTGTTTCGTCAACAAGGAGGTAAGTGGTATGTCTATGCGTGTGTCTGTGTGTGTGCACTAAGTGAGTGTAAACATGCAGGCACTGTGCAGCAGGAGCACAGAGGCTTGACATAAAATACCTGTGAAACAACAGAAGTAAATGAGGGACTTTTGGTGCCTCTCATGGTCTCACAGTCCACCAGATAAATTGTAGGAGTGTGTGTCTAGGACATGGATAATGATTCTCCCAATGCTACAGTATGTGAGCAATAATAACACTTGAAAGCTACCAAGTGTAGCCATTAGGAAAATGGCATTAAAATCTGTGTATTATTTATAGGATTTAAGACCAACAAATCTGAAATTTGCCAGTTAAGTGTAGATGTCAGATGTAGCACTGATATAGTAAATCCAAGCTGAGACCTCAATATAATCATTAATCATTGGTGATTTAACTGAGACCTTATGGAGAAACAGATAAATGAGATTAAAGTTGAAGAATGAATTTTAAGATTTGATGGAACTTAGAAATGTGTTCTACAGAAGTGACACAACTACAGAAAATGTTTTGTATTTTTTTATCAACTCATCGCACATTTCTCTTAGTTTAAAGGCGTCTTGATGCTCTAACATGTTTGCACTTTAAAGAGACCTTTTGCCTTGAGATATGTACATCTTCTGATGAACTTATGGACTCATTTCACCATTAACTGAGATGTTTTATGTTACTGGTTATTCACATTTAGAAAATAAAAAACAGTGTTGTAATCATGTCTAACCTCTTCCTACACGTGTTTAAGTTCTCATGGATCCCCTGTTGATACATTTACTAATTATAATGCTACTCTCTTCTCTCTGCCTTCTCTCACTGTAACTCATCCTTTTCTTGCAGGTGCAGGCAGAGGTAAAGAAGAAGTGGCAGAGGTGGAAGCTGGGGATGACTGACCTGGATGACCTGAGAAACACTGGCAGCAACACGGCACAGGTGAGCACCGATGCTGCAGCCTGTCATAGTTTGTACATGTTGTAAATATATACAAACTGTTTGTTAGAGGCCTTGTGTATCCAAGTTAAACAGACTTTAAACATTAAAACTATGCTTATATTACAAATGTGTGCTTCAAACACACTTAACCTCTGATGATCTTTACTCAAATGTATGTGCAAGCCTTTTTCCTGTAGCTTTACACGATGGGTGCAAGTGATTTATGTTGTGTTATTATGTTATTATTTCTGTAGCTTGTAGGTAGGTGCTGCTTTAGTGATTCAACATATATTAGTGTTGGATAGGGTCAAACTTAAAAAAAAAAAAATTATATAGAATTTGCGATTAAAGTAAGTAATTAAAGTAATTAAAGTTTAAATAGATGTAACTTTGATAAATAAGTGAACATAGGGGAGTAGAGACGAGGTTACTTGTGTTTTTTACACTTGGACAAAAAAAACTAAATAGTCATGTATAAATCATTGTGCAGGTTTGTGGAAGCATGCCACCATCTAGCCAGTGCCACCCTCTGTCTACCTGTCTGCCGCTCATCCATCGCCAAGAAGACAGCCGTCTCTCCACCCTACCCCACCCCTCTGCTCTTCTTCACAATCAGCTCCCCCTTCCTCAGCCCTGCACCCACCACCAGGACCAGCTGGGAGCCAGACAGCTGATGACCTACTGCTGTATCTCTGCTCATAGACAGGATGGTGGAGGAGGAGGAGGAAATGAGGAGAAGTTTTGTGAAAGCTACTGCTGAAAATCCAGTGTCTTGCAGCAAAACAAGGAAATATCAGTGAACATGCGTTCAAGACAATTAGACTAACTGACCGGGGATTTGCGGTGTATCATCCATTGTTATGATTGTGTTATGATTATTCAGAAAACATTTTATTTAGATTTAAAGACAGTCTTGTATTGTTGAAGTGGTTTAAGAAATAGATGAATGGATTCACATTTTCTTCTGTGCCAGACGTTGATGAGATCATACAAGACATGTGTGGAGACAGTCCATCAGCTGGAGGATCAGGGTATTGAGTATTTCATCGAGTGACTATCAAGCATTTCCTGGTGTAGCTGACCCTGATCTCTGACCCCTCTGTCAAAGGGAAAGAATGAAAAACTTTCCGTTTGAGGATCATTTGAACTCAAAGGCTCATGTCCTTCAGTGTAAATCAGAAGCCGACACGACTCTTCCTCTCATTTTATTCCCATGGATATTCAATATGGGTTTATTTCTTTTTCTACCTCTTAAATTGTTTTGTGTCAAAAGATGGAAATGTGCCATTCATAATTTAATTTAAAGAAATTACTATAAAGTGGATAACATCACAGTGGTAATCTCCATTCTCTCATCTAAGGTACCTGCATATCCACTGTTAGTCATATCCGCCCACGGGAAACATTCATCTTATTCCACTTCCCACAGTACACTTTTAGATATTCGTTTTCTGTTGTAGCTGTTTTTGACTGAATTTCATCTTCATCTTTTTAATAACTAATGACTTTTGTGAATTTGTGTAGTCTGTAAAAACCTAGTCCTCATACGACAACAACAATCACTGTCAAACAGTCTTATTCCAGAGATGAGTTACACAAACCATTCAAAACCTAATGAATCTTAATGGATTCCACCAGTATTAAATCCCTATTTTAGTTACGAGAGGCAAATGGTAATGTTAATCTACATCTACATTGACAGAAGAAGCTTCTCTTTACTTAAACTGTTGCCTCCTGACTTAGTCCGTTCACACATCCTAAAGATGATTGACCTAATAGCCTCTTTTCCTATTGATTTTCAGGGAGATACCTTGAAACAGCCAGTACAACTTTCAAGAAAGGAGGTCTTTTCTTAAATGTGCTTTTTTATTTGTATAAAATCTTCTTATTTTCTCTCCTGCCATCTAGTGGAAAGGGAGAAGGAGAGCACACCATCATCAGAATAGCACCCACTGTCAAGCCAAGAAGCAGGTTTACTGAGTGAAGTAAAATCTAATCTTGAACACTGACTTAAATAAGTTATCAAAATAACTTCAAAACCTGAGATTTGATTAGTATCACCTTCCTGCCTGTACAACTATGGGGCTTTTTCTGTTTCTATTTTAGATTTATTAGATTTCCTGAACAAAACTTTTACTATGAAGAAAAATATTTACAAGTACTGTACAACTTGAACTGTGTTCTTTCACATTTCAATTATCTATAGGTGGAGAAAGCCTATTGTACCAACATGAATGCACTGAACACTGAATTGTTTGACACAACCCTTCAGCAAACAGAAAATCAAGTCACTGTGAAGCAACATGCAGAGTGTTACTTGGAAATACTTTGAACTTGATGAACCAAACCTGCAACTGGTGATGTATTTACCGCCACTAAACAGGGTGTGACCACTGACTCATTTCCTTTGTTGTGGCTACTGAAAAAGAAAATGTCAAACTGTCAGCAATGATTAAATCAAACGCTCTGTGACTGTAATTAATTGGTTTTGGTTTAATGTAATAGCTGAAATGACTGTAGAGATGAACAAACCAAAAAAAGTTATTTGGAAGTTATTTTTTTTATTTGACATGTACATTATCACTTACAAAAATACTTTATAAGTCAAACAAAAAGAAGTGGTTGAAGGGAGGGAGGGGTAGAGGGGGAAACCCATAAAAAACACATTCAATATTGTCCCAATTTATTCATCCATATTTGTGCAAAGCCCACAGTAGATCTAACAACAAACACACGGCCACATATTATAGACAGATCTGAAACTGAAAAGACAAAAAAATAAAAATTAGGTAGCATTTTGTTTTCAACAGTATTAGCCCTGTCTCTTTATGGCACAGTGGGCAGCAGACAGACAAACAGGTGGCACGTTCGCAGTCAGTCGGGCCTCACAGCTTTTCTTCTGCATTGTTCAGTGGCGTGTACAAGTATGCAGCATCGTTCTCTTCATAGATGATGGTCACAGTCTCACCAGCATCTGATACTCCTGCACTGGTCTGTATGTAAGCCTGAGAGAGAGGAGACAACAAAAGTAAACATTTGACATTTTCACAAGCAAAATATATAAAAGGACTAGTACAAATGTAAAACACATAGTTGATTACACAAATGTTTAACCACTTCCCATGGTCATCTCTGAGCTGATTGGTGCATAGTAAGTTTAATAGTTAAATCTCAGAATTAAATATTAGAATACACCTACAGCAACAAGAAACTTGAGTATAGCAATTAGGAGTTTTAATTTTAAATAAATCTGGATGTATTTCATTCAAATACTTAAAGCTCTTCACCCTCTCAAGCAGCTGTAGTCGCTCTTCATTCAGCATGTTGCTTTGCCTCAGCTGGCTGACCGTGTTCTCCAGTCCCAGGAGTTTCTCCAGGTGTCTGCGATGTCGCTGTTGCAGCACTTTCACCTTCTTCTGCAGCTCAGCCACAATGGCCTCCAGCTGCTCCTTACTCAAGCTGTTCTTATGGTAGCTGTTCCGGTAAAGAATGGAAAGAGATTAGAAACGCTGTAATACAGAAAGAGAGTACAGGAAAGCAGGACTACTAAAGTACTCTTTAGTAGTAATTTAGATGGTCTAATGTTGCTGTTGGTTGCATCTTTACTGAAGTTATATCTAAGACTGCAAACTCTAAACCTTGTGATCAGCACCTTCAGCCTTTCTCATTCTCCTTTAAAAATCTTTCCCTGAGTGAAAATACAGACAATATGTTAGTTAGAGAGTCAGAAATCACCAGTGCTCCTCCAGCTGGTGATCCTGCCGTTCAATCCCGTCCTCCTCCGATAGGCCGTCGTCTCCCTCTCCTTCATCTGTGTCCAGTCTTTCCACAGTAAGTACCAGGGACGTGGGTGAAGGTGGCACGTGTTTGGACACGATAGGCAGAGTGGATGTGATGGGTTTGGAGCTCAGAGCGGACGACAGCACTGTATCCGGGGAGAAGGTGAAGTGGGTGGAGGTTTCACTGGGGAAAACGTTAGGTATCGTCTCGAAGTAGGCAATGACTTGAGTTTCATGGCCTTCGTGATCTTCTGAGAACCCTTCTGTGGTACAAGTCACATCTTCAACACGGAGAGAGGCCACAGTCTCATCCGTACAGCCAAGTGTGGAGTCACTCATGACCAGCCCGTGGCCCTGAGTTAAAATGGCTGCAGTGATTCCATTCACAAGCTCATCTTGCCCTTCACCAGCAGGGCATTCAGACATCACTACCACCTCCGTGTTCTCGCCACTGTTACTTAGATCATTTACTGTCTGGAATAAAGTTAAAGGGAAATTTCCTCCTGTTTCAAATCGGTCCGCTGGTGGGTTCAGCTCTGTCTGGAGAGAACAGTCAGATCCTCCATTAGTCGCCTCCACCAGGCTGGTTTCTCCCGGCTGCGATGGGTCGACAGTGATCTCGTACAGGTGCACCGTGTGGAACGTGCTTTCCATTTCTACAGCATCAACAGCCGCCTGCCTGTCATCCGACACTGCGCCGCTTTCATTACTGTCAGCTCGAAGCCGTTTTGGCTTCTTCTCACTGTGATCTGTTGCTTTCCGTTTCTGGAAAGAATCAAGTGTGTTTATCAGGAAACATGACAGTGTTTACAATTATTAATTATTCCTACTGACTTCAGAAGTCTCATCTGAATTGGCCAAAGGATGATAAGTCTGTTTGTGTAAAAAAAAAAAAAAAAAACAGACTTAAAAAAAAATACATATTTAATACAAATATTTTCAATAATTTGTTTTATCCTAAATACATTTTTTGTGTTGCTGAGAGGAATAAATGAAACTAACATGGTACAAATGTTAAAGAACAGAATCCAACTCCCTGAAAAGGAAATACGTGTTCATGCACAGCAACATCTTCAAGATTTCTGCATTCAGCAAAAATAGAAATTGCTAATATTGTGCAGCCCAAACATTCCAGAGTAAGACTGTGCAAGATTCTTACCTCCGCCTCCTGGAAGACTGTGGGCACAGCATCGCTCTCAAGGTAACGGATGCCCCATCGCACCTTGAAACACGAAGGTGCAAAATGTTCGTGGCAAATATATTGGTGTCGAGAGGGAGTCCAGTTCTCACGTCTCATGTTGCTCAGCCACTGCTGCAGCCGGACCGGGTCCTGTAGAGGGAACCTACAATACAATATGTTCGACACTGGTTACACCTGGGCTCCATCAAGTGAAATATTGTCAAATGTTTAGAAGGACCAGTGTGTAGGATTAAGTTGCAGATCGTATCTAACTGGACACAGCTCGTGTGTATTTGATGACCTTGGATTGAGAGCAGAGTGTGTGTAGTAGGAGAAATTACAGTGGCCACAAAATACCCAAAAGGCCCTATCTGTAGTCTGTGTTTGGTTTGTCCATTCTGAGCTACTGTAGAAACACGGCGGTTCAGCATGGCAGACTGCATGCGCGGTGACCCACGGTGCCTGTTGATTTAAAAAATAACTAACATCTCCTTTATTCAGGTGATTATACATTGATGTAATGTAATTAACAAATACCTACTCCATTTCTGCCAATAGATTCTTCAAATGTTACACACTTGGACTTTTAAAATCAAATAACAGGGAAAATGCAAATGCTTGTTTCAGTGATGTGACAGTAAAGTCAAAGCCTGAAAACGTAAAAAAGAAAACTGCCTGCCGAGGCTGGAAATCAGAGAGTATCAGGTAACTGACTGACTCTGTGGACTCATCTCATTTTAGCTTGTGCCATTAAACTTTGTACAGTGTAATGCCTCTGGTAGTTTATGAGGGTGTATTTAGTGGTGGTCCTGTGTAATTACTTTTATACTGAGATGATTATAAGCTTCTGTGTAAGATTTGAAAAGACACCGTGTGCCAAACACGTCACCACAATGGAAGCAGTTACTGCTTTATATTGTAAACAGGTTCTTCTGGTCTCTGTGAGTAATGTTATATTAACTGATCAAATAGAAAGCACATTACAGTTTAGCTCCCACCTACATTGTTGGATTGCTGCACCCCCTATGAGTTGGGACTCTCAGACTTGCTGAATCTGTGACATCTTTTAAATTATTTCTTAAAACATTTTCTTTAAAACATTTATTTATTCTTGCACATATGTAATTTCCATCATGCATTATCTGTTATATTGGCATTACTGGTCTCACTATATATTAGCTATGAATATTTTATGCTTTTAATTGGTTAAAACTATCTGCCCCAGTGCAGTGATCTCTGTTGTGCTGTTTTAACTTTAACTGTATTGTTCTAAGCAGTAGCTGTATGTATGTTTTACTGGTTGTATTGATTTGCCTCTTCGCCAGGTCATCATTGTAAATGACAATTTGTTCTCAGTTGACTTGTCTGGTTAAATAAAGGGTCAAATTAAACAAATATAAAAGTTTTTTATTATTATTGCTTTTAATTTGAATGGAAAACTT